AGGGTTATTCGAATTACGACGGTCTCGATCATTGAGAGAATGACAAATCATCACTAGTTCCAGAGGTCGCGATCGTTTGGTTCAGGTTCAGGACTGGTTGGTCACGTGCACTTTCAGTCTTGTAGAATCACCTGCGATCCGATTGTACATCGTTGGCCTTGGCCAAACCAAATCCATCACCTTTCTTAAGATCGGCCCACGTTGGCCCAAAATATTCCCTCATCATATCTCGAGATCGGTGTCCCGTTCACTATCGAGTCCCTGGTCCACGTACCATTTCCTAGTTAGCCATACCCCATTGGTTAGTATCCCGAGAGTGATCAGCTCTGGGCGAGACTTACTAAAATGAAATGCGAAATATTGTCAATTTTATTGATCCCGGAATTACATCGAAATTCGGGTTGTTACACACCCAGCCGAGCCACACCGTCGCCCGTCACCCCTATCCACCAGTTCGCAACCGCGACGGCAGCTCGCCCGGTGCTGCTTAGCCGCTCGCCGGCCGGCCCTGCATCGCCACCCGCCAGCCGGCCCTGCATCGCCACCCGCCGCGCTGTGCCGCTCCGTCGCCCCCCTTAGCCTCCATCTCCCTCTCTCTTGCCATCACCACCCCCGGCTGACCTCCCCCTCCCCTTCAGCTCATCGCCACCACGTCGCCGTCACAGCTACTCGCTGCCGCCGCCGCCACTGTCGCCGCCGTCGTCACCGCCTCCGTTCGCCCGCCCCGGTCGGCCAGCCAGTCAGCCAACCGGCCGGCTAACCTAGCCCACGGCCACTCGCCCGTTCAGCCCAAGCCGTGGCCCGTCGCCCAGCCATCGCCCGCCCGTGCTCGCTCGCCCGCCCGGCCATTTGCCCGTGCCTGGCCGAGTGCCTTGCTCCTGGCCGAGTGCCGCGCCCGTGGTCGAGGGCCGTGCCGAGCACCGTGCCGAGCGCCTTGCCCATGGCCGACCGCCGTGCCATTGCGTGTGCCGAGCCAGCACTGTTCACCCGAGCCATTTTAGGCCCGAGCCGATTTTTCCCGGGCCAAAACGTAGTAAGTGACTTCCTAAACCCTACTTAGTATAATGGGTATGTTTAAACTTGTTTAGGGTGTAATTTAGTACCGGATTAGGGATTAAATTAGGCGTGGATTAGTTAAATCGAATATGCTCAATTGATGGATTATTGTGGTGGTGATTGTGTGGCTAAATTAGTGGTTGAATGAGATGGGTGACGTGACTGAGTTGTCGTGGCGTTTGTGGGTGAAATAGAATATTTGAATGTGCCGACTTGAATGTCGGATTGGTAGGCTGATGTGGAGAGCATGACTTGAATTGGGTGTTATGGCATGTCAGATTGACATTGGTGAAAGTGTGGTGATTTGAATTTAAATTATACGACTCAGGAAATGGTGAATTTTTTGTGGTGGTGCATGTGCATGAGAAAAGCCCGGATCGATCGGAGGGCTGAGCCTGAGGCGCAGTGGCGCGGGCAGTGAGATTGGGCCTGAGGAGCAGTGGCGCGGGCAGTGAGATTGGGCCTGAGGCACGGTGGCGCGGGCAGTGAGAATAGACCTGAGGCGCAGTGGCACGGGTCGTGAGAAAGTTGCTCGACCACGAATGCGAATTGAGTGTGATTGAATTGATTGAATGTACGTGGTTATGGCGTTTGAGTGGGGATGTTATATTCTTGAATTACTACTGTTTTATGGTGGATATTCTAATATGTAGAGTAGGCACGTAGTTCGAGGCGAGGTAAGTATGTTGTGTGGAATTGATTGTGTTGGCTGGTGAATTGCATGTTAGATTTGTCTAGGTACACATTGGCCTAGGTGGGGTATAGGTTGTCTGCTTATTGAGATTTATTCTCATTGCTGTAGTGCAAACATTTTCAGATCCCCGACCTTGAGCATGTTGTCACCTAGGCGTTTTGGGATTCCCATGCATACGGTGCATGAGGAGACCGAGTATCCGGGACTGAACCCGGATGAGATGTACATTAGGCATCGTACCACTGTTTGGGTAGACGTGGGACTGGAGGAGCTAGAACGCCATACATATTTGGCTTGGTCCCATCGGGTCGGGTTGGTGAATACTGGGCAAATCCGGGGTTTTGAGGGGTTGCAGCATGCTAACGAGGGTGCGGTAAATTGGGAGCCCTGGGACAAGTTTACTCTCGATGGCGAGGTGTCGGATCCCGACAGTCCACCGGAGAACCCTGGTCAAGAACCAGCGCCCGTTCCGGAGCCCGAACCCGAACCTATGGCCCCTGCAGACCCCGAGCTTGAAGAGGAATCCGAGCCCGAGCCCGAACCCGAGAAGGAGCCGTTAGTGTCCGAGCATGAGGAGGAGCCAATTGAGATCGACTCGGATACGGAGTCAGAACCTTCAGGGTCCGATTCGGATTGGGCGCCATAGGGATGTTTAGGAGTTGGGCATGCAAGCCTTTTTGGTAGAGTCCCTTTTTGTGCAGTTAGTAGTCTACCCGGCCACCTGTTCCTTTTTGATGACGAAGGTGGACTTTAACCCTAGAGGCCTTATGCATGAATATTTGTGATTTCAAGCTAATGTTATGAGTTTATTAATTTGTACTTGTTTTACCCCGTTGTCATTATTTATTATCTGGGATGTGTAAATTTCGCTTCTGCCTGCGTACGACTTTGGGTGTTTCGTTTGGGGTCGGCGACGCGTCCTGGAACGTCGCGATTAATACGACCTTCAGAGGGGTGTCGCGAGCCCGTCGGGGCTCGGGACGTGACACATTCTCTCTTCCCAAACATTTATAATAGCCTAAGTTGTGCTCAGAACTTGAACAATTTGTACAAGTATCAAGTTCAGTTGTTCTAGAAAGCAAGATACTCACACTCTGCTCTTCAACTTCATCTTATTGATAGAGTTCCTTGTGCTTCCTAGTGCCTGAGCTTGTGTGTTTTATCTTGTAACAGGATTGCTCCCCTGCTTATGTGTTTTTCACTGAATAAAATCCTACATATTGGAAAAAAATAAAATAAAAAGACAACATCTGATTACGAGTTGTAACGATGAGGGACTCACTTATCTGAATCTGATGTTGTCCAGCTCGATTCTTTCTTTGATTATGTCTCGCTTTATCCCAAACCCAATCTTTCTTCATCTTCTGGTCTCTGGGTGTTTATGCACGCCGTAGTTGCTCTTGACGATAACATTGTATTATAAAATCTCTTTTACTTTGTAGTGATCTTTCAAAATTACTTGCAAATATTACCAGGGCGTCCCTGAGGCTATTTCAGACTGAGAGCAAAGAGACGGATGCGTATCGTGATCTAGAATGATTTGACAAGAATAATATGAACTCTCCGTGGTTACAAAATTCCTTCATTTTTCGGGGATAGGATTCTTAGTCGCCATATCTTTTGCTTCCAAAATGGAAGAATCTCGGCTGCTCTTCTGTTTGGTTGTAATCCAAAAAAGAGTGTTTCTACTTGGTGCACAGGTTCAACCCTTCTGGCAATCGAGATGCCTTTTGATTCGATGATGAATTATTATTCAATTGTGACCATGATTATTGGTCATGCACATTCATTATATCAATGAATTATTTGAATTTGTTGTTGCAAATCTTGCAAATCCAAATCGCCTTCATCCCACAAATGAGCTTGAACAAATCGAGCTTCCTTGAGAGAGAGAATCGAGCAGCATAAACCCTAAAAGCCCCACATCTATTCAGCAACGGAGAGAGACACAGGCTAATGGCATTGTTCTTGTAACTTCAGCCAAGGCAGATGATTTCATGATCAAAACAGCGTTTTACCTTCACTTAAGCCACATAGGCGCACATCATCACAGTTTGTTTTCCGTTATCCACGTAATTAGCCATGTATGATTTGTTAACAGTGCTCATTGTTCATCTCGAGAGCACCTATAAATGATTGGGGCTTTTGGTGTAAAACAAAAATTTGGGATAAACGTGTCATATTGGGCACAGTTTGAATTTTTTGTGACTCTTTTTCTTTTTTTTCTATTATCAAATTGTTCATCACGAGAGCACCTATATAGAAAAAATTAAATGTTTAAAAATTCCACGATTGCACGTATTTGGATGATAAATCGTTTAAGATAATTATTTATGCATGAAGGCTTTATTTTGAAGTATCTATAAAAAAAAATAAGACTGATTTTCAGGTTACACTATTAAGTTGACGGAAAATATTCGTGCATCTAAGCTATTAAAAGAAAAATTAAATGTTTAAAAAGTTATATTCCATGATTGCCCACATTTTGGTAATAGCTGTTTAAGATAATTGTTATATAACAGTTAGATTCTATTTTGACGTACCTGGAGGCTGAATGTTTAAGCTGATGGAAAAAAAATTCTGCATCTAATTTTGGTACCGAATGTTAAAAAAAAATTGTTTATGCATGTGTACATTCAATTTTGAAGTATCTATATAAGCTGAAATTTTAAATTGATCAAATCATTCTATAAATAGATCTTCGGTAACAAAGTAGGGAAATATAATGCAAAGTAATTATTCAAATTCTTTGAGGAAATACATTCAGTATTGCATCGGCCCTACTACAAACAGCCAACTATAAGGCTGCGTTTGGTCGTCCGGATTTCTAAACAGGATAGGACTGGATAGAATAGGATAAGAAATCCTGGGATTTCTTCATATCCTGTCCACTGTTTGGTGGACTACTGATTTAAAGTCGGATAGGATAATTTTTATTTTATTTTTTTGCTATTCACGGGTCTGGAGGAGTCAGTGAAGGAAAAAAAATCGAGAAATTTTTTTGGTGAAGGCGCACAAGGTGTGGGGATGAAGATGACGGCGAGTGGAGTGTAGGGTTTCCGAAAAAATAGACATTAGAAATCCTATCCGGGTCTATCCCACCCTCTACCCCGGATTTTTTTATCCGGGCTATATCCAGTCTATATCCGATTTTATCCTATCTTGGACCACCACCAAACACAGGATAGGATAAAACATATCCTATCCTGGCTTTTATCCGGTCAACCAAACGCAGCCTAAGTGGATTTCATCAATTGCTCTCGGCACGAAAGATGCTGGGTCCATAAGTGGATTTAACCATTTGGTAGAGCAGGGGAATCTGTAGTACTACGAATAAAGCGACCGGAAGAGAGGCCAGCAAAGTAATGGGGATAAGAACCCACTCCAGTCTCGTATCCAGCACAATTGTGAGAGTTGCAGTGAAGGCCACCAGCATGAAAGCCAAGGAGAGGAAGAGAAAACAAAGGCCCATTATGATCTTCTTAGGCAACGCTTCAAGAAAATCTTGCGCCTCATACCGCGAAGTTAAGATGGCTAGGAATAGCAAGATGGCCGTCACGGAGGAGAACAAACCTAACGCATCCGAAATTGCGAAAATCAGGAGAGAGTCCTTTCCTAACAACAATGGGACTCCAGTTTTGTCGTTGTTGCCTCCGGGCACAGTGAAAGCAGCAGCGAACAATACTGTGGCAATTAGAGTTGAGACGAGCATACATGAATTTGCTGTGTCCTTCGCCCATTTCTCTCCATTCTTAAGCAACTCTGTGTGGTTCTCCACGAATCTATTCCAATATGTCTTATGCTCGTAGTAGCCAGTTCTCACGTTAGGGACAATCCAGCTTTCCACAGCCTATGCATAAAACTCACAAATAGGAGTCTCGATAAATGAACAAAGTATTGAAAAATTTCGGAAAATTGACAAGGGAACATCTCAAGGAGATTATGAATTATCCAACACTTGATGCGAAATTGCTTAGAGGTTAAGTCCATCTTTTCTGGCAGAATTTTAAGGATCACTTTCTTCTGAGCTTCAATGATAATTTTGTGCTTCATTTTAGTCATAAAATATATACATGATAAGCAATATGTTTCTACTTTCTAACGATTCAAGTTTCATGAAAATCTCTGACGTGGTAGTTCAGCCGTCGCTAGCGTTCTACATGACAATAAGTCAGCGATTTCAAATGAAAATTGCCTGTAAAAACTTTATTGAAATTTCTCTTAAAAATTTAGGACTAAATTAATAAAATTAAAAGTTTTAAAATTATATCCGTACGTTAGATTTCAAAATGATTGGACAATTTCCCCTATTCATATTTCTCCTTTATCATTTCTTTGGTAGGATTACATGTATTTTGCATTATTCTAAATCTTGCAAATTTGTTCTTCTTCTTATTTCTTTGATTGATTGATGCGATTGATTTGGGAGTTGTGATGGTCATTGTCATCTTGATTCATGTGCCAGAACCAACCCTATCAATCTTTTTATTTATCCCTTATCATTTTCTCATTAATTTTCAGCGCACATACTTGTTTTGTTTCTATAAAGAAAATAATATCCAAGTTGATTTGTCTTATGTAGAAAAACTTCAAGAAGAAAATTCATTTGCAAGCGTCCAACGGAAGGTAATCAAGTGCATTGCAAAGTGGGAGTTATGTCTTCATATTACATAATTGATTGTTCAAAAGTAAATCAAATAACATGCTATATAAATGGACAGTTACGTAATAGGAAAAGACGCAACTCAACCTTCTAAGGTTGGTGCAGTTAGTTAGGGCGTGAATAACAACCATTTTGTTTTAGAAACAATTCCTAGATTTTTCTATTTCTGTTTCCATGATGAGTTTCTGAGAAAAGAAACCCATTTGATAACGACAACAAATTTCTATTTCTGAAATAGAAACTCGTTTGATAATAGCATAAAATTTTTATTTCCTGAAACAGAAACCCGTTTGATAATAGCACAAATTTCTATTTCCCGAAACATAAATCCATTTTTTTAGAAATGGAATAAAAAAATTAGAAAATCCGAAAAATTCCTAAAAATCTCAAAAAACTTTTCAGAAAATCCATAAAAATTGAAATTTTCCAGAAAAATTCATAAAAATTTCCAAAAAATAAAAAAAAATCAGATTTTTGGGAAATAGGAAATTTGTTGAATTTTTAAAAAATGAAAAAAATAAAAATATCAACACTTCACAAAATGGCGTAGAATACCTATGGCCACCCACTTTGAGTGAAATTTAAATTTTTGGACAATCCAAAAATTTAAATTTCACTCAAAGTGGGTGGCCACAATTCTAAAACATTCTATGAAGTTTTGAAATTTTTGATTTTTTTGGCACCTCAAAAAATTTAAATTTCACCCAAAGTTGGTGGCTACATGTATTCTAAGCCATTCTGTGAAGTTTTGAAGTTTTTGATTTTTTTTTTGGGCGCCTCAAAAATTTGAATTTCACTCAAAGTGGGTGGCCACAGGTATTATAAGCCATTCTGTGAAGTTTTAAAATTTTAAATTTTTTGATTTTTTTTGGACACCTCAAAAAATTTAAATTTCACTCAAAGTGGGTGGCCACAAATACTTTAAGTTATTCTGTGAAGTTTTGAAAATTCACTTTTTGATTTTTTTTAAAAAATTCACCAAATTCCCTATTTTCCCGAAATCCGACTTTTTTATTTTTCTGGAAATTTTTATGAATTTTTTTGGAATTTTTCAATTTTTATGGATTTTCTAGAAAAAAAAATTTGAGATTCTTATGACTTTTCCGAATTTTCTAATTTTTTTCTGATTTTTTTTATTTTTCTGAATTTTCCAATTTTATTTATTTTCCCATCGGGAATGAACCGAATCGAACCAGTTCGGACCGGCCTGACCAAGTCAAATCGGGGCCAAATTTAGGAAGATATGTGTTTTGAAGAGAGAAATAGGTTCTTTTAGAAATGGTTCTGATTTTTTGTTCAGAAACAGAAAACCTACTTTTTTTAGGTTCTGATTTCTGGTCCAAAACCAGTTCTAGAATAAAAAGTTGATCTAGAAATAGAAAAATAGAATTACGTTACCAAACGGATTTCTGTTCCAAACCTATTTCTAGGAACAGAAAACTAGTTCTTGACAGAAACAAAATGGTTATCATTCGCGCCCTTAGGAAACAAAGGATTTTCAACTTGGAAATTGAAATTTAGCATTTCAAATCTTATCAACCGTATACAAATTGTTCTAAATTAGAGTTAGCTACACATGCCAAAGGTTTGGATTTACTCAGTTCGTGGGGTTATAAGGGTGTTCCTTGGGTCTACCATGCAACGATGCCCATGCAAGGGCCAATCGAGCCTCCTCGAGGGGTCGCGAGCTATGTTGTTGCCACCATTAAGCAACCAAACCTCTTCGAACCCCCGACGAGTGTCGTGCACGTGAAGCGACCCGCAAGGTTCCCCAAACCTTGCCAGCGACAAAGGGGGTGTCCCCTTCTTGTTCCTCTTCAATGATCACTTACTCCCTATTTTTGTCCTTTTTATTGTTAGTTTTTGTGATGCGGCGCCGATTTGCACCATATCAAGGCCACTTTTGCAAAAAATAAAAGAAATTAATAAAAAAAATGCCAATAAATGTCTATCAAAAATTGATGAAGCTAATGAAAGAACTAACGCGAAGGAGAAAGACAAGCTTTAGGACTTATTAAGCATGAATTCAGAGTTTCAGGACTCAAGTGCAGGATTGACATAAATTTTAGGACTCTTGTTGTATGTAATTGTCCCAAGTTTTTTTTTCATGACAGAGAACAGAGAGTTGAAATGAAATAAAGGTAAATATATATTAAAAGCTTCTTGATGTCATTTTTTTGTAGACAATGGTTTGCATGAGTAGAACTTTAGTTAATAGCTCAATCAACTAATGAGAAGTGTTATTGAATTAATAGCTAATCAAATGAAAATAGTGGCCATAAATGAACTTAGCTAATCTTTTGATTGAAAAAGAGACGATTCATGTCATACTGCTTTAAAATCATTATCCATCTACATACATTCAATTATATTGGAACTACACTATAATCTTAAATACAAAATATGATACAATGGAACTAGCAAAGCTATCATGAAAATATATGATCTAAATGTTTTTTTGGGCTCCAAATTAATATACGTGAGTTATACATGAAATGATTTGCATTATAATCCCTTAATTGTATGGTGGCAGACACCTATACAAAGAGTCAGTCGACTTTAAGAAAGAGTCACTTGGATTAGATTATTTGGTGCGCAATAGCTGGGCCAGATATGTCTGTCCGCTACAAAAAAAATATTCTATGTATATTCTCAATCTCCAAATAAAGTTCTAGCCATCATATTTTAAGAAACTTGTCAAGGAGATATGATAAGGGTAGCACTATTTCCATCCGCATTTTGGCTAAGACACTCCTTTTTATTAGTTAACCAATCGAAATATGCTTCTCTCTTTCTTCAATTTATTGTTTCTTTCTTTATCAATCTAACAAACAAAACTGCCTATATTTTTATCATCTCTCTCATCGGTTTCATAATATAAATGACCAAACAAAACTGCCTATATTTTACACCAAACAAGATATTATCTTATTATGCATCCTGTTATCACTTTGCCTAGAGAAGCTGTTAATGTTGATTTGTGGTCTCATATTTTTAACCATGAAAGCTATATAGAAGATTAGAAATTTCTTTTTATGATGACTTATGAATACACAATTAATTGTCTATTTTTATCAAATAGTTTGAGCAAAACTTTATTTCAAAGTTGAAAATTATTTCAATCTAATTATTTAGTCAATCTTGATAAAAAAAAATGGAAACAAATTGATCAAAATATGGAAAAGGTTAATATTTTGAAAGCACGATCAAGACATGTTTACATTTGGATCATGTTGAAACAAAAGATGAGCACAGAAAGGAAAAAAGAAAAGGAACTTCTTATGGTACTACTTCTAACACGAAGAAAGTAATTAATATCGATAATAGATTCAATCTCATAGCAAGGGGATCAAAATTTTAAAATGTACTTAAAACTTTCCTTTGAAATATTGTAATGTGAGTCCGAAAGTAAAGGTGTAACTAGATTGAAGAGAGAGAAACATTACATTAAAGAGAGGGATATTTTGGTAAGTTAACTAAAATAGGAGTAATTTACCAAAATGAGAGTGGAAATAGCGTGGTCCTATGATAATTATCATTAAGCGTGGTTGTTAAATATATGAAAAGAAATATACTTTACCTTATACCATTGGAGTTCTCTTTGCATTTGAAAAGCTGCTCCCGCCACGTTAGTTGTCGCATCGAAATTAGGGTAGTACTCTATTGCCGCGTACTCTGCTACTACGCTCAGCATTTCGGATGATTCTTCCTCTGTAGGCCCGGGAACTAACGACAATTGATTGGTTGAGCTTACCTTCAAAAAGAGCCTGAGAGTCCTTTCTTGGCGATACGTCACAGCACGTGTCGTCAACCTCACACCATAAGGCTTAATCCAAATAAGCTCCGGGAAAAACTGAATACATAGCTTCACAATTTCACTGATTCCCCTGACCATAGCTTCATCCAATAGATTATTCTCTTGGATAAAATCGGTGATCTCGGTAGTTTTCCTATGAGAGATTGCGATGCAAACTTGTTTTGCCAACTCTACGGCCGCCATGTGTCGTCGCTTCACCTCGTGAATCCTCTTATTTATAGGAACTACAAAATGTCAAAGAAAAAATGAAAACGGAAAATGAAGAAGAGGCGGCGTTTGGATTTTACTTGAAAAAAAAAATACAGGAGTCCAGCTTTGCATCCCAATTTTTGTTATTAGACGCAACAGTTTACCAATTGTCGTATTTTCCCACAAAAGCCCCTACCACATTTAGAGCTTGGGTTGGCGGGCAATGGGGAAAACGATCTCATTCTTTTTAATTTTTTCTACTCTTTTAGAAAAGCTATTTCGATCTTTTTTTCTCCATTGGGATAAAGTCCTCACATGCGAAGTGTGAGTTTTAGTAATTGCTGATGCAAAGTACAAAAAAAGGTATAAAATCATTTTTGGCATTTTCCAACTATCATGTCTGGATGAAAAAAAATAATTGGATGTAAAGAAAGTAGAAGTGATTAGAGGGAAACTAAAGAAAGTGATCTTCCTTGAAGTTCAAACGAGGTTTTATAATGTTAATCATTATTAAAAGAATATAATTATAAGACTTAACCTGACAGAACAGCTCTGAAAATAACCACACTAATGACATCTCTCTAGCTAGAGTAAATCACAGTAGTCTTTACATATATAAGATTGTTTTAGATAATATTATTCAAATATGCATAGTAGCTAGTGATAAAAAATCATATTAATCGTGCAATCCATTGTATTGTTATTTATGCTTAGCACAAGAGCAAAAACTTTTCCTTTCTCCATTCTATTGTCTCTAACGAAATCAAAACTTCCACATGAGGTCACAAAATGGTAAGTGACGTTCGAGTTTACTTGTTACCCCTAAATGACATAGTGAGTAGAGTTAAATTGACACTATTCTAAATAACATTTAATATGATAAAAATACGCAACACACTATACTTTTGTTTTCTTTTTGGTCTTTGACAAAAATAGAAGAATTAGGGACGAGGCTAAAGGGTATTTCAGGTGCATACAAAAGTTGGGTGAAGATGACAATGCAACTACGGGCAAAAGTTGTGAATAAGTTTCGGGAACTATAGGACCTTTTTTAGCTGTCAGGTAGTGTTTGGGCTAATTTTCGTGCGCTTCGAGTGGTCCACCTTCTCGAGTAACTTTAAGAGTGCATTCTCCCATCTTGGCCTAATGTATTTATGATCTTATTTTCTGGAGTGCTTCCCACAAATCTGAAATACAGGATTATAAGAAGAGGAGAAAAATCCTTTATTATCTAACCAACAGCTTGTTATGATTTTGTTGGGACCCACAAAATTCGCTCCCATTGAAATATTGTTCTATTCCAAGCCCTCCCATTGTAAATTTACTATGTTAATGTGATTAAATGATAAACCCATGCCATCATCTATTGCAACCCTATTTCAGAGTCAATGACGCTAGGGGCTTGCCCCCGGTCCCATGCCCAATTCCTGCACCCTCTCAATGTATTCTTTCATGTTGTATTGAGATGAAGTAGCAGTCAAAGAAAATAATATTTGGGCTTTAAGCACTTCAACCGTAATGGAGGAAACAAATACATAATGGGTTAATTGTTCTTATTTTTCCAGAAAGATTTACATGCTTGATAGAGATGAGGAATCGAACATGATTTCACCAATCAAGATTGAAGGAGAAGTCCTAGGTTTACGTAACTCCTATTCCATATCTTCTGCTTAGATCATTTAGCCATAAGCAAGAAATTCCTAGGTTAACATCAAATGTCCCCTCAATTTGCAGTTTCAAGTATTTTTTTTTCACTTTTTTTTATATATATTTACAATTTTGCGACTCTTGCAATTAGCATTAGGTGAATATCCGAAATCTTTCAAAATATAAAAGTATTAACTCAGAAAATCATATATATAACTTTGTTTGAGTTTAAATAAGTTTTTGAAGGATTTTTATTAGATTTATTGACCGTGTAAAGAATAAGTTACACATTCACAGTTGAACGATTGATACGTGAAAAAATTTACTTACAAAACTATTTCAAACACGCATATCACTCATTCAACGGTGAATGTGTAACGGTTTTTTCACATAGGCAGTGGGCCTAACACAAATTCTTTTCCAAATTATGGAAAAGAATTAAGTAGGAGCCTTTCTCTACTCATAAAAGAAGTCAAAACAAACAAGCCATTGACTTTTAGATAGAGAGAGAGGGACATAGATAGAGACGGTATGTTTGATAAAATGGAAGCGTACCTACAATTTTGGCTGCATTCCAAAGTGACCTTGCAGGACGTTGAAGCGCTACAATCATGTTGCAAAAAAAACCCGATCACTGGATACGAAATCATTGTAAGACCGTGTAATTCGTTCGCTGCTTTGTCTAATCAATTAAGTTATACGATACTTATGCATTTGGTTGAATCATATGTGGTTTCCAACAGATAGCTGATCCATAAAGTAGTTCGATTTAGGCCATTATTCAAGTAAAATAGGTCAATGAACCAGAATATATCATACAAAGAATCAATCATTTCCAGTTTCTTTTGCTAGTACGGAGGGAATCAATCTAAGAATATTGACTTAAAGTTCGAAATCATGAAAGGTCCTAAGATAATGCCCAACTGTAAAAATGCATACCCACCCGGATCCGAATTTTTATCTGTTGGTTTGTAGTTCAAGTCCACCGAAATACCTTCAGTTTAGAACAAAAGATCAGGTGATGAGCCAGACATGATGATCTTGAAGGGAATCAGTAATGAAGGGATGCGAGTGCAGAAAGTACGGACATTTGTATATCAATTTTTCCAAAACACCGAGCCTGGTTCCGCTGGGAAAGTGAGACTCCATCCTTGCCAACTTGTGCAGTATAGAGAAGCCTCCGCTTTTTATGTTAATTAAGTGAGGGTACCGCCCAACTAGATAAAGGGTGATATCTGTCCGAATTCACCAGCGAAGTTGATCAGGAAAATAAGCTAAGTCTAGAATGAAGGTAAAAACAGATGGAATTGGGATGAAGAGTGATGGTGATCTTACCGTGATGACCGTTGTAGGTGAGATCCATAATGGTTTTATTCACAGAGGAACTGCTGAAGGGTTGACTTGGCCCATCATCTGTCGTATTTTTTGCCAGGAACCAGGCAATCTCGTTATGCATAGAAGCTTCCACAGCAGATATTCCCAAAGGAACACGTCCTTCATTATCTGCAAGTTGCGTCAACTTAGGATTACTTCTAACTAATAACTTGACCATCCTTAGCCTTCCACACAGGACAGCATTGTGGAGGGCTGTGCGGCCATCACAATCAACCATTTCAAGTTCTTCCGGACATGGAGACAAGAGCTCAACCAGGTTCTCCAAAAATTGGTCTTGTGCACTCAAAGCGGCTATGTGAAGCACTGTCTCTGATCTGCTTGTTATTTTGGCCATCTTTGAAGCTGAATCTCGTTCAAAAAATCTTTTAGCAGATTCCCAATCACCCTTGAATGCAGCTTGCAACAATGGTCGGTAGTACTGTCCATCCACTTCCTCTTTCGATATTTCTGCAATAGATGCAAACTTTTCAGGCCATTTTGTTGATGCGTTTTCCTTGCAGATATTGAGAAGTGTCCCAGAAAAGAACAATTTCATGAAGATCCGCCCCTCATACTAATTTCACACTAAAATTACTCTTTTGAGGGATAACGCACCTGGAGCACCTCCGGATTCAGAAGAAGCTGATCCAATGCTTACACAGACATCTTCAATATCTGTAGGAGAACGAGTGAGCACAAAGTCCTTCCCATACTGATTATTTTTTTCTTTTCTCTTTTTCCTAGCCAAGCTCAAGCTCAGGGTTATGTTTGTTGGATGATAAAACAAAGAAAAAGAAGCATGAGAAAATACAAGTTTCAGCATATTTGGGACTCCATCAATTATACCATATTTTTTCTGGGTTGGAACTTGAACAAGTACCTGCTGCTGGTTCTGCATGATTCGATTTTCCTTGTTCTTCACTTGGTTGCGTCGCCATTGGGTTGCTCTCCTGGTTACAGTCTTTCAACAACAAAGTAAACGGACAATACAAACGAGACTCTCCACTTTCCTAGAAAGTTGAAGCAGTGATGTCAATCGGCTTAAGTTGCAGCGCCTGTTATATCATGCGGTTCCCGTTGATGAAAAGTCTGTCAGCGCTTGGAAAAATATAATTCTTGGAACACAAAAATTAATTTGAGTTAAATATAGCACAGATTTATTAGATTTAAATTTTTTGTAGTATTAAAACTAAAAAAACAGAGAAATTATCTGAGTTCTTTCGAGCCCACCTCCCTCTCCTCTGTTTCCACTGCCGACCGAAGTCGACTGTGGTCGGCAACGATTCTCTCATGTTGGATGGGACTCACATAAAAATGAATAGTAACCGTGTATTTTAAACGATGGTTGAAATGGTAATTCAAAAGAACCACATAAAAATGATGTTATTACAAAAATCTCTAAGTGAAAAAGCCACCAAAAATTCCAAACTATGCCAACCGTGATATATTTACCCTAAACTTTGTTTTTGTGACATCAAAAACCCAAAACTACGCTTACTGTGACACATTTACTCTCCATAAAGATTCCATCGAATGATTTTTCAGCTAAAACAACGTCATTTTTATTTCACTTAAACCACGTTTGCCTTCCGGTGTCCATATAGGCAGATTTTTAACTATCACAACCTCCCCGAACCGGCCTCGTCGCCTAAGGGGTTTGGCTAATGGATTACTAAGTTAAACCTAACTCGAGCTCTCCCAAGCTCATACCAACTCGCGACTTAAGATTTAAGTGATTAACGTTCAAATCAATTTCATCTAGGAGTCGCCACTAATCAGTTTTTGGTGGGTCGATTAGACACCTAAGTAAAGCATGGGAGAAATGCTTCACTTCCACGAACCAGAGATTCAATAGGTACGGGGACTTGTTACACTAATCGACCAACTAGTGCCCTTTCGGTATCTAACCATGTTCAATTACCGCCTAACGTGTTCACACTAATTGGGAGTTTCAAAATTCTATTCCTAACCAAGCTAGGGGAAGCAACAATCAATACATGAGCCTAACATGCATAATCATTCACATGTAAAGTTAAATTAAACGCGCAATTCAAAGTGTGTGAATCAAGCAAGGTGTAATCAAACATGATGCTAATCACACAAAGAATACAAAAAGGGCCAATTCCAAAGCCCAATTTTCAATTTTTAATTTTCAAAATTTCTTTAATTTTTTAATATTAAAATAATAATATAATATTTAAATAATATTAAAAAAAAAAAAAGGGACCCGGGTCGGATCTCCACATCCTACCTGGGTCGGGGTCGACCCGGGCGCGCCGGCCCGGGTCCACCGCTAGATGGGCTCGGCGAAAGCCCAATTCGGAAAAAACCCACAACTCAAATAAAACAATTATAAAAAACAATACACCCCAGCCCAGCCCACTAAGAATAAAAACCTAAATAACACTTCAGCAAATTAACCAATCCGGCCCACCCACGAAATGACCCACTGCCTAAGAAAAGGCATTCTAGTCCTAAACTAAAGCCCAAAGCCAACAAATTCTTATAAACTTAAGGCCGACCTGAATACCAAAACCCTACTCGGTTACGACCTGCGTGCCCGACCCGGCCACCGGCCACCAGCCACCAACCCAACTCGCCCACGCCACGCTCGACGCCGCGACGCTTCGCCTGACCCGAGCCTCCCGCCGCGCGTACCGCGGCGCGTCGCCTGCCGCCGGCTGAAAGCTCGGCCACCACTCGGCTGGGCACGAAGCTGCCGGCCGGTCCCTGGCCCCCACGTCGCCGGCCAATCTCCGACCACCGCATCACTGGCCAATCTTACGTCGTCGTCCGAGCACCGCCAAAAAGGGCGAAATGACGAAGCCCCGGAACGAAACCACGGACCACATCAAAGAAGGCAAACACAGGGATCGATACCATAGGAAACGCAAAACACGCCGTGAAGATCGCGGGTCGACGCACAACCGAAAAACACGAAAAATCAGGAACAAACGCAAAATAATTCCATGCAAACATTTCATCAAACAAGTTGAGTGCATTGCAAAAAGAGGAGGTTTTCGGCGCGACTGAGACTTGAATTCGTCCGGGGTTCTTGACATAAGACATACAAGGGTAGAGGAACCAAACACAGGACCGACGTGGCCGGGATTTCGCGCGGGCCGGTCGGTTGCGAACTCTGGCCACGGTGTGCCCAAAACAGAGACACTCACGGTGGCAGAAACAGGACAGCCGCGATGGCATCCCTATCCGGCTCGACGGCGACGAACGGCGGCGAGCTCGATGGATCGGACTACGTCCGGTCGCCTCGCATGCCTCCGAGCCGGAATCCTCTGGTAATCGACTCAAAACTTTTGAAGAAAATCCAAAGAACCGAGACCTACCTTGGGCGCGAAAGGGAGGCCTCGGGCCCGAGTGGCGCGGTCGGGAGTCGTCAAATGACACTCGGATGCGGCCGGTAAAACTCTCCGCTCTCTCCGTCGGATATCGTTCTATCTCCCCTTTTCCCCTCTCGATTTTCTCCCTCTCTGCCTCCCCCTTTTCGGCCTCTCTCTCTTTTTTTCTTCTTTTTCTTTTGCTCCCTGTTCCTTCCTCTCCTTCAGCTCTCTCGAGCTCCCTCCTTTTAGACTACCGCCGGTCCTCTCTCTTCGGCATCCCTCCAAAACGGTCAGTCAACTAAGCCAGCTACTTTTCTTTCTATTTTCAGGTCGAACCTGCCATTCATCAGTCTGTCCCCGCTGCTCTGCTCTGCTTCTTTGTCTTGGTCAGAACCCACGTGGGGAGGAGAGAGGAAGAGAGGAAGAGAGGCTGGGCTTGGGGGAAAAGAAGAAAAGAGAAAGACCAAGCTGCGCCCAGACGCGAAGAAATAAAAAAAAAAAAAAAGGAAAGCTGGGCTGACACGGCCCCGATTCGCCTTCTTTTTTATTTTTATTTTTCTTTGTTTTTTTAAATTTTTATAATGATTTTTTAAATTAAAATAAAAAGGAAAATATATTCTACTAAATTTTATTAATGTAAATGCACCTACTATCTATGTGTCATGTAATTTAATGAAAATATTTTTATTTAGGGGTTAAAAATTAATCACTAATTTTCGTGCAATTAAACCTTAAACGGATAGGCAAAAATTAGGTATCAACATTAATGTTGTTTATTGACGGAACCTTAACGGAGGGTAAATGGATCACACAGGTACAAGTTTGGGATCTTTGGTGTTACATGTGTCATGATGGGTTTAGTTTAAGATTTTTGGTGACTTTTTTTCTTAATTGAAATTGAATCTTTTCCATCCTCCGACAATTTAAATTAATTTCTATTCCAAAGTTCTATCACTCTTCTTCCTTCGTTAACTTTTTCCTTTTCCTATTTTCGTGCGCACGTGTGCGTGCGACTTTTTTTGGATAGTGTTCTTACAATGCATGTATCACTTGTACTTAGTTTGCATATAATTCTAACCAACAATATTGAGTTACATTGTGCAGTTTTGATATTTCAAATTTACTGACACAATTCTTCTGTGTCACCAAAAAAGGGTCCTCGAAGCTCACGGAAATTACAAGGGTGCCATTGTGAGCGACTCGAGATGCTTTGATACTCTCTCTCTCTCTCTCTCTCTCTCTCTATGCCGATGCCTCCTCTCTTTCTCTTCCGTACTTTTGCATGTGGAGACACCTACCAAGTGTCATACCGGTGTCTCAACAGCACGAGGGCCGTGACCTAACTTTCCTATTGAGGATGGGGATAGTACACTAAAAAAAACCTTCAACTTTAATTTTTGTTCCATAGAAAATCCTCAATTTTTTATTTTATTAGAATTATACCCTAAATGTTTTTTTGTCCTATGAAAAATCCCATCTTGTCTCAATTTCACTATCTAGTTCCAATTTTACCCAAAATTTTTTATAGTTTTATAAAAAATCACAAACTTTTACTTAAATTACTCTGCCCCCATTAATCCTTCGTCCAAAATTTATCGTTGATAATCGAGAGATGAAAAACTCTCAAGCACAAGTTGTTCGAGCATCCCAAGCGCAAGCTCTCCGGCCACGAGAGATGAAAGCACGAAAGATAGAAGACCGAGTGCAAAATCACTAAGAGCGATTTTGACGGAGAGTTAATAGAGAGCAAATTTGGGACTCAAGTAAAAGGTTATGATCTTTTATAAGATCAAAAAAATTAAAATGAAACTGAACTAGACCTAAAGTTGGGATTTTTTTAAGAGACAAAAAAAAATTAAAGTAGAATTGATATTGGACCTAAAGTTGAAGGTTTTTTGTTAGACAAAAAAAGTTTATGGTAGAATTGGGATTAGGTCTAAGGAGATAGAATTGGAATAAGATATAAAGTTGGAGGTTTTTTATAAGATAAAAGGCAGAATTGGAACATTAGTTAAAGTTAATGATTTTGTAAGGTATTAGGCCATTGATGATGTGTGCAATGACGTCATACAAACTCACGAGAAGGCGTAATAATGTGACGTCTTTGTGGGGAGGAACTTTGGCAGCATTATTGACTTTTTTTTTTTTTTGGTCTGAAGCATTATTGACTTCAATGACATCTGTTGTCGGCCATTTGGGTTGTATTATTGTCCACTTCACTTTTGTCGGCCATTACTTACTTTTAGGTAGTCACATTGTCCCTATCCGCCAAGCACTCTATAGATGCTCCCTATTATTTGGTCATATAAAAGTCTGCAATGTGCCCCATCCTGCATTATTGCAGGCTAACTTTTGCTTCCCATTCCATGTAGGTGTTGAAAAGTGAGGTTTTCTGGCATCAAGATGAAGTGTGAAATGCGATTGATTTATGGGAGTGACATCAAGTTATTTGTAATAGGAATCCAAAACTGTGATGATATTCAGTAGAATAAGAGTTGACTAAGAATCAATTACCATATCCACACTCTCCAATGATATCTGAAATCTCTTTTCTATCTTTCCTCCGGCGGGACATGTGTACAACTTGAGAAGAGTCCTCAATAATTTCGTACATGATTTCACACTTTTATACATGCCCACGTCCCACGGTGCCCACGAAAAAGGTTCCATCTTTATTTTTTTCTTCAAATGTGAGCTAATTTCAGTGAGTAACTTTTTATCTAAATCTTTATCATCCCCATTTTCCTTACCTTCTTGAAGAGTATATAAATTCCCTATTCAGTTAATTATTGTTTTTTTAAGAAAAGAATTCTAATATCCAGCTTTTGAGAATACTCACATTAAGCTAAATGCATATAAAATTTTTAACAACTGAGGATGACGACATTCTCAATTCATGAGATAAAGTTACAGATGTCAATGTATCTCTTTTACGGGAAGGATCCATTGGAAAATCATAACTGATATGCTCAATAGACAATTCATTAATGGGCCATGCCTTCATGATAGACGAGTTTAATCAGGCATTCCATTGTCGAGGCATTATGGGTTAAACGTATTGTCATGGCCTAATTTTAGTCATTGGTTTCTTAAAGTTTGGGTTCAAATTTTTAGTCTGATGTCAATTAATTCAGTTAAATTCATATTTATATGATCCAAAAGTTATTTTATATTTTTTCTTGTCGAGACAACTATGGCGCGAATGATAACCATTATGTTTTTGGAGTAAATTTATGGCCAAAAATAGTTCTATTTCTTGGATAAGTTTCTAAACATAAATATGTGTTTGATAATAATACAAAATTTTTCTTCCTGGAACAGAAATATAGGTGGCTGGCGGGGGGTGGTGGGCGGCAGTGGCCGACGAGCAGCTAACGGGGGTGGCTGCCAGCCGGCCGACTGGAGAGCGAGCGATGAAAAGAGTTTTTATATCTTTTTTTGTTCCAAAAACAGAAAAATAAAAAATTTTATTTCTTATTTATGCTCTAAACCTATTTATGGACTAAAAATTTGTTCTAAAAATAAAAAATGAAATTACATTACAAAACAAATTTTTATTGTAAATTTATTTTTAGAAATAAAAAATAAAAGAACGATTATCATGCGCATATCTAGTAATCGTGATAATATTATGTCGGGACGTGATCGAACTTTACTCAAGAGGATGTGGGCAATGATATCATACGAACTTTTGATAAGAGGCAGCATTCTTGACTGCAATGACATTTGTTA